ATATTGTATTGTGTTGTGCTATGGTACCTTTGTTGATTTTTATTTCCATAAGGGTACATATGCTGAAATCTGTCTGAGCAATATATATGATGTTGTCTAATATCTAATTTATTATTATACTGGCTGTTTTTCCGCGACTTCGTATCGTAATTTATAGCCTATGTTAGCCCCGTATGATGTAGGTAGGTGAAATTAAAATCGGTCTAGTACTTCCGGCGCCTGTTCGATGCAACCAAACAATTATATGTTTCCTCTTTATAATATAAGTATAGAAAACTGCCATGACGTATACGATATTAACACTCTTTTCTATAATCGAGTAGATTTTGAATAAATATAATTCTAAATGTTAAAGGTTTTACTGCATTCAAATTTTTGTTCATTTGTTAAGAATATTTTTTTAAATTATGACATTTTTTTCTCTCTATAGATACGAGTGTAAGAGCTTCAAATTCAAAGTAAAAATAATCTTAATAGTGAATGATTAGTCTTTAATAAAATTATATTCTAATTAAATTAATATAATATTATCCAAACATTACAGGTCATAAATGATAGTTAACCATATCATGTCAGCCTGGGACCGCCTTGACGTCCCTTCCATTGTTTCCATAATAATACTCGTACTAAACTTAGATGAAACTTAAGTTATCTTAAACTTAACTTATGAATCATTTGTTTAATTCAGTCAGTGGTAAAGTTTTATTGACTCTTATAAATTAATGAACCTTATGCTCCTAAATTATACATTTTTGTATTGATATTTGCACCACCTGTAAATAGAGCAAAGATTTACAATATAAAAAAGTAATGATATTGTATTATTATTATCTATTTTAAAGCCACCCTTTATTAAACGAAGACACAAAACAAAGACAAAATACGTGTTATTATTATAATATCTAAGAACTAAATAGGAGAGATTTTATTGTTTACATTGAAAAGGTTACAAAACTACTGGACCGATTAAGAAAATTCTTTCACCTAGAGGAAGCTATTTCACACAGAGGAGAAATGATGATAAAGCTACCTATTTAGGCATAGCTACTCACATTCTACTAAAGCGAACAAAATTTTCGTTCCAAATATTAATTTAGTATCTCCTAATTTTAGAACCGATACTTGTATGAGGTACTTATAATTACCAATTGTATAATTTGATAATATTAACATTAAAATAGTTGAAGAAATCTATCATCGCAGTAGTGCGTATATTGAATATTTTTCTTGAAGTAACACAATAATATTTTATTATTGTAAGATTGTCAGTCTCTGTTACACGAGAAAGCATGAAAAACTAAAAATCAAACATTAATATAGATTTGTGAATATAAAACTTACTAACTGTAACATTTTACTTATATTCATATTTTTCGTTTGAAATTGGCGTATGAATATATATTTCATCGATAATGTTTCGAGTTGAAGCGCTAACAAAAAAGAGCGTAAACATTATTAGCCGGTAGCTGAAGCAGTCGTAGTGACTGCCTTTAATATCTCAACTAACTATTTTATAATTGAGCCTACGTATTAACTTAAATTTGCCGACGGCACACGCGTTGACGGACCATCAAAATGTCAAGAGATAATAACACAATAAACTTAATTACCTGCACATTACATAGCAATTACCTACTAGAATATAAAAAATAATTATGATATTTTCATATGAATAAAAAATATGTTTATAAATAGAACACATTATTATAACATTAAAGCTTATCGTAACGTTTAGAGAACTGTACACACTTCAATGCCAATAATATTGAATTCAGTTAGAAATGAAAAATATATATAATCATATTTTTAAACGATATTCTGAGATCGGAATGTTACAATTTATTTTAAGTAGTTACATACCTCTACATTTATGTATATAGTTCTGACTATACATTTTATAAAACTCTGCGTTTGATTTATAAATATACTGTGGGAGATCTTTCACTGAGAATTACCGGTAAGAAGCAGACTAAACTTTCTATTTAAATGTGCGACAGCTGACCTATATATGGGTTCTTATTTATTATTTTTACTAAAGAATATTTATAAGTTATTATAGTATATATAATCTAAAAGCAGTGTTAAATATGAGCGCTATTACTTTTGGTAATGCATTTTCATTGTTTAATTCAATTAGTAATATTTAATAAATTACACTTTAGATAAAATTCTACATTTTTTTATTTGCATATATTGATTACCTACTGGAGTTCATTCAATATACATTAAGGGTTATTAATATTGTATACCTACGATTTCGCCCGCGTAAATTATAGTCTATGCAAACCGCGTATGATATAGCTTCCCGTAGGTGAATAAGTTTTATAAAATCGTTCCAGAACTTTCGGAGCCTTTCCAACTCAAATAAATAAGTAGATATTTCTACTTAATAATTAGCATAGAAAAAATGAGACTTTACTTTTTAAAACGCTTTTAATAAATAAATAAGGATGGTATAAGGGAATGTAAAAATTAGAACTGATAGACAAATTCAAAGTGTGTCGGCTCTAAATAAAAGTACGAAAAAGTATTTCTTTTATTTAAGATCCTTTAAGCTGTATATTTAAAGTTTTAAGTATACAATAAGCTTTAATAGTGAAGTATAATATAAGTATATGTGCCTTTAAGATATCTATTTACGCCTACGTCTATTTAAATTTAAGCTACTATATATTTCATTGATAATACTATAATCTAAATGCAATGCAGTTTCGGCAACGGAATGATAATATTGGTCCATTAATAATTAGCTTTTTTGTGAATTTAAGACTTATAAGTAATGATAACTATTGTATCTATTGTTAAATCAAGTCGTTATTAATATACACTTCAATTTTCTCACATAAATAGCGATATTGGCTTTTTCCCGCGACTTTGCCGACGTAAATTATATAGCCTATATTAACCGCATATGATGTAGCTTCTCAGAGATAAAAGCAGTTTCATGATCGGATCAGTATTTTCGAAGATTAGAAACAAACACACAAATTTATAAACTTTATCTATTTTATAAAATTTGTATAGATATATAGTTTAAAAATATTTCTTTAGCTTCTTCGACCTTAATTACTTTTCATACAGGAAAATGAAAAAATCGGCCCATTTAAGTTTATGAACCGATTTCAGCCATTTTGTAACTTATGAAGAAGTTAACTCTGATACATCACAGCTGGCAATATATAAGCTTTGTCATAAATCAACATTTTGAGGAGAGTTTACAATAAAGTAATATATTTGTCTATATGTAAGTTAGAGCACCTTAAAGTCCCAAATGGTCAAAATAGGAACAGTGGCAAAAATCGGCCTTATATCCATAATATATTCTTCTTTTGTATAATAATAATCGCATCTTAATATAATCTCAACTTCTTGCATTATGCCATTGTAAGTACTATCTAACTGAAGTTTAATATTATTAATGCGATGTATTACTCACAATCTAATGGTGACAGTTATATTTACTATGATATAGCCACAAGTAGGAATTACTTAGAACCATTAGTTGATGAAAAACATATTTCTTTTTCCGAAAAATCCTTTTTTATTACTTTCTTAAACTATTATACAAAAACAACTTAGAGCCGCTCACCCCTCCCCTCGCTCAGTTCACGCCATAGTAAGTTTGTTAAGAAAAATAGTATTTTTCAATTCCAGGACAGCAAAGTAAAATAACTGTAGGTATGTACACGGGACAACACGTGAAATTCCGAGACAATCCCGCAAATCCCTGCCACCTGGCAACCCTAGTTGTAGTTGGAGCGCTATTGACTCTCCATAATTACGCTATCATTAGCAGAATAGTCCTACACTCATTATGTTGACATTTTTCTTCTATACCTTCTTAGTTATCATTATTATGGCGTTTACTAAGATCATGAAGTAGAACTCGTTATTTATAACAGATTTTTTTAAAGGTTAATGATAGTAAGCAAAATAATCTCAAATTAAGTTTTAACTTAAAGGAAAATTAACCGCTTTTTTCTTTAATAAGAGACTCAGACTTGATGCGTTTAACTCGTGTTTAATGGATGACAAACAACTGCAAAGATAGATTAGTAGAAGAGAAATAGTTCTTTAATAACAAATCGTTCATGTTTCAATTATGCCTATTACTAACTACTTTTAGTTATGTAAGTATCTATAGATGTATTATTTTGTAATATTCTATGGACTTATACAGTGTTATTAATAAACAAGGTTAGGCGTTGGAGTAAAGTTACGCTGAAACTGTACTTAGTATTAATGAAAATTCATATTATTAAACACAGATTTAGTAAAGGTTATCCTAGTACGAGGTACTACGGGAGTAATATCTTCTCCTAGAAGGTTTACTTATTTTGCGTATAATATGAATTTGGACTAATACTAAAATTGCAATTTTAACGTCAATTTACTCTGACGCTAATCCTTGTTTATTAATAACACTGATAGTGTTTATATATTTATTTTTGTTAACTAAAGGTGTGGCATAACTTAAATAAGCTTAAAAATAAGTATGTTGTCTTTGTTTTCATTTATCAGAATAAATAAAGGTTTCATCGAGAACATCGAGAACTTATCGTTTAGAATGAAATTGTATTTGTACTAAAATCTTACTATGTGTATACTATACCTATATATTGTGTATGTAATTAACATAATCTTCAATATATGATTAAAAATCAATAACAGTGAATTAAACTATTAAAATCAAAATATTTAAACCCAAACATTAATACAATAACTTTTATATTGAAAAAACTACGTGAATCTTATTGGAATTAAACAAATACTTATCACGGCTTAGTTCATTTATAAAACATTCATAATAAAGGAAATTAAACATCAATGCTAACACTAAAACATTAGGCAACTTACTAAAATAAATATTTAAAGTAAACATAATAATATTATGTCTTTTTAAAGTCCAATCAAGTGTTTAAATGGGTCAGTTGAGTTTACAACGTTTAATTAACCTTTAAGCTACCTATTAATTAACCTTGACATTATAAAACACTAACCTGCGAGGCCGGCGGGTACGAATAGCCGAATTGCGCATACGCTGCCATCGGGACGATCATATGGGCGGCTTCACACAAAACACTGTCTCTCAAAGTCTAATAATCACGGACGTACAAGTTTCCTTAATACTATCTAAATTGAAATTAAATAAACGTATCACAGTTGGTTGAATGCGCGGCGGCTGCGCGGCGCGCTGCCATCCCGGGCGTCAGCGGGCCGGTGCGCGCGCGCTTCGCATGCCGGGTGTCGTCGAGTGTGCGGCCGGCCTATACCTTGTTTACGCGTTCGAGTCTTGGCACAGACTGGCGCGCGTACGACGCCTGCCGCCCCTCCGCTGTAGGACATGGCCAATTACGCTCCACCCCATAGGCGGAGCGTCACGTTACCCACCAATACTATCATCAATCTTCCGTCCTTTTCAGCATCCAGCGGGCATTCACGCGATCGGATTTGGCCAAGTTATCCCCACTTTTGGTGTGCGCCGCCCACTTAACTCGCGCCGCCCACGTCCGGGTGGGGCGCGGGAGAAAAAAGCCGGCAGAGTCGGCTCGAGTTGATCATGTTTATGGGTTTCCGTGGAGACAGTCCGCTCTGTACCACGAGCAAACAAATCTCTAGTGGCAAAAAAATGGCTCGGCCGACGACAAGTTGTTTCACCTCCTCAGATTTACGAACAACTCCGCGTATAGTTAAGAATTTACTTTATTGGCTATACTGTGTCGGCGTCGCTGGCGTTTTTCACATACGACATGCCCTTCAAAGATCTCGAAGCATATAAAGTATCATGAATGAAAAGCTTATTAATTTTACAAGCATAAGTGTTACAAAAATATAATTTAACCCACTCAGGTTGGTAAATTACTATATTGATCATTTAAATTGGTAATTTAAATAAAATATTATTTAAACACACCCTATAAATAGGTAAATATATGGTACAGTATTATATTAGGTACAGTTCAAAACTTATATCGCATACCTTCGTATGTATTTGATCAAAAGCATTCAATAGTGGCAACAGAGGACGCTCTTCCGATAGCGCGTTATTAAATTTTACATTTCCTAGAGTTTCCACGGGTAAGTAACAGGTGGCGCTTGTAAAGCCCTCCTATTTCCACCCCAGCCTCATATTGAAGCAAAATAGATTTCTTATAGCACATCATATTTTATTCCAGTGAAAAATATAATATAGAACGAGCAACCCCCTTTTTTATTGCAACACTTAAGCTATTGTTATTAACATTTTTCAATAACTTAAAACGTTCATTGTTAAATATTGATTTTGTTCTGGTTATATCTATTCATATACTTTTATTAAAACAAAAGTTTAATTTATATAGAAAATTTTATTTTTAAAGGTAACTAGACATGATATAAGTGCAGATATTTCAAATGTCACCTGTCTGTAGGTATTGCAATGGATCAAGCTAAAACATCTGTTTTACATAGGATTGTGGATTTAAAATACACCTCAGATAGAGCTGAAAATTGGTTTATACCTGAACAGTTTATAAACACAAAGGAATAATATAGGAGCCTTGGATTCTACGACTCTACTTTTCTACCAGCGTAACTATTTATGTTTCGCACGCCGGTTTCAAAGAGTCGCCGTTTCTGATGTTCCGGCTTCGATTCCCGGTCGGGAAATTGTACAAAAGGAACTTTTCTATATTGTTTTGAGTTTTGGTATTGTGTTACCTTAATTTTTTTTTATAATACAAGTGCTTTTCATCATTTGGGTTCCGAGCAATGTAAGAAAAATTTTATTCATTTGATACCTACAATTTTCTATGAGTAGGAATTAGGTAGGTATTATTTATTTAAATATGTAGATATAGCAATTTTACCTATATAAATACTATTAATATTATAAACGTGAAAGTTTGGTTGTTTGTCCTTCAATCACGCCGAAACTACTGAACAGATTTTGACTAAATTTGGTATGCAGATAGTGTATTAGCTACTGACATTGATAATAGGATACTTTTTATCCCACTAAATAGTTCCCTAGGGACCACGCGAGCGACGCCGCTGGTGGAAAGCTAGTGTATATGATTATTTGTACACAGGTCGCGTGTTAATGTTTTATTACACCAATATGTATTTTCACTCATTACATCAGTTGCCTAAGTTTGCATCATGACAATGGTACTAATAAACCTAATTAGAACATACACTTTAAATTCGTTTCTCAATTGAATCAATGTAATAACCAAACAATATCTTGTGTCGGTTCTAAGTTAGTAGTTATATGGATGCGACACGCAAGTTATCTTTATTTTGTTTTACTCAAATATTGACAGTTTTTAACTCCTTTACTTGCAGCCAGTTGCTCAAACGTCCATTAAGGTTTAATGACGACTTCAAAATGTAATTAATGTTTTATATTTTAAAATTTGTGTCGGCAATGTCACTTTAAAATAACGACAATTTTAATAGACGTTTGTGCAACTAGATATCGGTATAATTATAAAATCGATGCGGGTACAATATTGACATGGGTACGGTGATCTTTGTTAACAAATCCATTTCACGCAATTTGTATCTCCAAATTATTAAAAATCATCGATATAAAAAATGTTATATTTATTTATATACAGAACAAAATTTTTAATAGCCATAATTACTGAAATCAAACTATTTTAAGTCAATAATTGTTTAATTAGGTTGTTTTAATCGAAATATGTATTAGGTAATCATTTGACTTTTATTTTTTTTAAATTATTAGTTTTGTCGTAATAATCAAACTTAACTATAATAAAATTTTGTATTATTCTGACTCGAGTTCGTCTTGTTGATGAATAAATATTTTTCAAAAAATTCTGTTTAATAAATTGAGCTCAAAATCGATTCTCTCTAAAAAAAAATTGAAATACCAAATGTCACCGTACCCATGTTATGTGTAAAAGACTATAGAGTAGTGAAGACTGGGGTTTTGTAGTATCAACTTATTTCCATATTTTTAAGTTGTTTTTAGTATTTGAGTGTTAAATCCGAATATCAATTACCTATATAAGATTATTCAAATGTAACAACATGCCTCTTGTTGACTTGAAGTATCTAACAGGATTTAAACAAATAAAGTTCCAGTCTCGAGGTGTCGTCATCTCTGATGTTCAGGGATCGATTCCCTGTTGAGCATCAGAAAAGGGGCTGATCGAATTGAAATTTGATACACAATGAGTTAGTAACCTAAAAGTGGTCTATAGTTATTGACATATCAAATAAAAAAATGCTTATTGTGAGAATCTTTATACAATTAATAATTTCGAGGTAAATAATTTTGAAGTTATAATATACGTACAAAAAACGGGCGAATATTAACCACCCTTAATCTCACCACACCACAACCACAGCGCTTAAGACATTGAAAAAAAAAATAACGCAGAATATATTTCATGTATGTTTTGGTTTAATTGACTAATTTTAAATTCTATCGCAATGCTTTTCAACGCGATTGGAATATCGATTTATAGAATTATGTTACTTTAAAGTCGTATTCGCTTTTGAACAAATGATGAATTAAATTATTAAAAAAAAACATGCTAAAAACTTGGTTAAACCGGTCTAAAGATTGCAGTTAGTTAGCATTCAACTCTTTCGTTTGACATTCCTTTCTTTCAATCATTCATTACTTTGCTTAAAGACAACTCGAATAAAATATCTTAAAAAAAACATCGCGATCAGAATCGGTATTACATGTCAAATAGTCGTAGCGTTACGTATTATTCAAGGACTCGTAAATATCTTTCAAATGTGAAATTGAAAGGAATTACGATTGATTTGAAAATTAGACAATTAGCAACCTGGTTCAATACTTTGGTATGGTACCCTCTTAGATTCCGACTATATCTTCATCGGTTTTAATTTATTATAGGGAAAAGTGTTTGGAATGCATCTAATCCTTAGATACCTACAAACTACTGTGAATAATAGGACATAATAATGACATTAAAAATCGAAAATTCCATAGATACATTTTCAACTATTCTATAGGTACCTTAAAACCTAATCGGTAACCGCATTAAGTACCCATGTTAGGTTTACGGTCGTTTCTAAAAATTCAAACGTTACGGCAGTAGTACCTATATATAACGAAGTTAAAAGGTATACTAACTTTACAAGTTTACGAGTAATAGCCGAACAAATGTATTTACCTCGAAAATTTCGAACAGCGCCATAAAAAACGACAAATATGATTATTTAACTTTTTTTTTAAGGACAATGGTACGGATCCATCCATTACTGAAAAAGAAGTTGGTATATATCCTTTTAATAGACGGAGAGCTCGAGCAGGAAATGTGCAAGTTCTTTCGATTTTTCAGTATCTTGAAGCACTAAAGGCATATAATATAAATCAGTTCCCAATGCGGAGGTCAGGCGCTAGAATACCTGGTGATCGTAACGAATTCCTAGCTAACGTTGAATATGTTTATTCAATCACATTCAAGTCCAAGCATTTTTGAATTAACTACTTATAATTAATAAATTAACTTTCAGTCATTAGGTAACTCTTTTTCGGAGCCCATTTTCACACCAATTTCTGAGATCTACTGAGTCGCATTTAACAAACTAAGCAGTTTAGTCTCCTTTTTATACTAACAACAAGTTTTTCGCTAATTTCAAACTATAAAAAAGCACCTATAATATTGATTATGAGAGCCAGTGCTCAAGTTAATAAAATATAAAAAAAAAACTGAACAACTTTTACTACGGGAGAAACACTTAACTGATTAAAAAATAATCAGCGAATTTATACAAAATTGTAATAACTACAATCGTTGACAGTATGAAAAAGCTGATTATTTTACCATAAATTCAGTGTTGCTTCCATAGTAAAAGTTGTTCAATATACTTAACTAATCCATACCATGAAGTAGCATATAATAATATTACACATTATATATGAAAACGTGATAATACTAAAAACGATCTTACAATTAGCTATAGTTTTCTGAATAGATATAAATAGATAATATTCCATTGTCGACATTACATATCGCTTTTCTTTCACAAAACTCATTTTTCTCCAAAATAAATGAACAAAAAAAATAAATGAACCAAAATATATGTTAATATAATGATAATAATCTTTTGAGTTTACAGGTATTGATCTGTAGTAACACTGAGCTATTAATAACGCACTATCTGTCATATACATCTATAATTGTACAACTGTAATCAATTCATAACACCCGAAGTAAAATGATAGTAATATGACATAGAAAGCAAGAAATACGACATATTTTTATCGT